CTAACGCTGGAGAAACAGGTTCTCAATTGATATCTTTATTGGCATTTGGCCCACTAAATACGAGTACTTCTGCTGCAATGGCACGAGATTCCCTTCATTCAGTATCTTGTTACAAATAATGTAATCAAAAGTACCTACTTATCACAACTATTTTTTTACGACAACATACGATCCGCTTCCCCATTGTACGAAAATATTTTTCGAAATTTCCTCCGGATACCTTAAAATATAGAAAAATCGGAAACTTTTCTTTTGTAAAAATAGCAATACACAGCAAGCCCTTCATTTAATGCCGAAAGCTCAACACAACAACATAATGATAAAAATGGCCGCAATGTAAAAGAGGCAGTCGATAAATTACAAAAATATATTTTCTCTTACCTTTATTCTGGAGATGCAGCAGAACAGCGTCACTCCACAGCTCACACTCTGTCGATACGAACACCAACAATTCAGCAAGAGTCACAAGGAATCACAACTTATTCCCACAATATCACTAAATTTTATAACACATGAAACCCGTCCGTGTCGTTTCATGGCCGCGGCGCACTAAATAGTAGCAGTACCGCCGAAAAATCAAAGAAAATTTTCATGTGAAACTACCCACAATAACTTTATTTGTCACTAACTGTCAAAAGTTTAATGTCATTTTCTGCGTTCCTGTCCACGCAGTATTTACTTTGTGATTCGTGTTGAATTCTTCTAATGAGTTTGGTTATATTTTTTTAAATTTGGAATTCCATAAAATCTTTACGAACTACGAGCCGTGCTACGAGCGAGCGAAGTTTCATAGGCAATTTTGTTTTCTTTTCTGAATAAATGTGTGTTTATACTTAGTCGAATATTAATTTAAAATAAAAGGCAATATTATTTTACATTAGAAGTTTTGAAATTAAACAACACTGCACCATCACTTCAAGTGCTTGTAAAGTTTCAGTAAAGTCCCACGATTCTGAAACGTCAAGTAGCAAAAATCTAAAATTAAACTCAGTATATCAGCGCCCTCCGGTAATTATTATTTTAAGGTTGTCCAACGTGGCAAAAATCAGAACCAGCCGTCCGGTATTAGCGGTGGCGCCCCCTGTCAATATCACGGGTATGACGGTTCAGTTCTATAAAGTGCTAGTAATCTTTACTAAACTCGTTGAAATATTTACAATTGATAAAGGAAAACAAATCATGCAAAATGTTTCTTTTGTTACAGGTCGTTGAAGTGAAGAAGGTTGTATCAGTCCCCAAGGTTGTGTCCGTCCCTCAAGTGGTGAAGTACTCCAAGATCATCGCGGAGCCGCACTACTCCTACGCGTCCTCCGGCTGGTGGTAACCTCACAACCAAATTGTAGCAATAAACTTAATTTAATCTAAAGCTTGTGTCATTTAACTCACCTAGGTTTCACATTATGCCTTGCGAAACGTAATTGCGGTAATAAACTATGAGATAGGGATGTAATAAAATGACATCGTAATTCCTACCTATTTGAAGTAGCGTAATGATCGTCAATCGTCATACGTGACTTGCTACTCAGTCAAATGCAAGAAAAGATTAAAGCTGTTTCTTATTGTGCCCTTTCGTGCACTTGCACTTTATCCTTAGATCAAATCTAGGCTATCATGGGTTAGATAAGTGTTTATTTATTATCTGTATAGCTTTCTACGTTGTTCAATATCTTTTTAATAATTTTATCATTCAACTGATTTTACGCCGAGGCTGGCAGATATGCATTTGAGGTCTAGGAAAAAGACTTTGAAGTGCCTAATATTTTAGGTAAAGCTAAGTGTTAGGATGGCAATAGCTGTCACAGACCGTATACAACTTACAACACATATTCAGTCTCTCACAAATGATGTTATTGAATACTCTCCATGTTACCATACGCATGTAGATCAGTACCTCAAGTACGAAAAACTTTCGAGTTCGTTTCGTTTGCGTATTCAAAGTGTCATCGAAAAATTTTGTATGAAAAATTAAACAGCGCCCCCTATATTATAGCCGCCCTAGGGGGCGCTGACACTTTGAATACGCAAACGAAACGAACTCGAAAGTTTTTCGTACTAGAGGTACAGGTAGGTACTCATAACACTTAACACTCTTTTAAATTCCCATTATTACATACATAATTCTACAACAGCAGGAAGCATTGGGTACGAAATTCGCAGTTTACACTTTGATAGTTTCTGATTACTTTTTCAGGACTTGATGGATTTATTCGAAAGTAATTATACGCTATAATTGAATTATTAACCGAAACTCATATATCAGATTACAAACATTGTTATGCTTTCGTTTTCAACGGTAATGCTATGCTCGATTACATTTATACCTGTTTTGCCTACGGCTTCCTTATTAGTTTCAAGCTGCTGTTCTAAGAGGTAAATTTTCTAAAATGTTTCAACTTAGCACAATCCTACTCTTGATATAAAATATGTTATAAATGAAAGAGACATATTGTAAACCTACTTGACATCGTTCTTCTAAGTTAGCTTCGTGTATTTCATAAAGATATAGAATAGAGCCGTTTACAATCAACTTGGGGAGTAGAAAACCCTATTTACTTCACTTACGACATTTATAATGTATGCGCCTCATGGCTGACCCTAGTGAACTCATGGAGAATGTTAAGCTTCCCTATAAACACCCATTGATTATGCAATACAAAGGTGTGCTCCCAGAAACGTTATGGAGTTAACATTTTATATTTTCTTAAAATTTAATCAGGAAACACAATTATAAGGTCAAAGCTTTTTTTTAAGTTTTTCTTAAAGGAATTAAAGTTCCCAGGCCTCATGAAATTTTCTACTATAAAATACGCATTTTACATAGTTAATGAACATTAGTAGAAGATTATTTAAACAAAATATTGAAAATGACTTTATTTCTGTAAAACTGAAAAAAAAATGATAGAATTTCTTTAATAAAAACGGTCCAGCACAGACGCTACAAACCAGGAAGCCAGTTAGCGCATCATTTCTCCGCAAGAAGGTCAATGTCGCTTACGGCAGTGGAACCGTGTTTGTGGCCCAAGTTCAAGCCTCGCGTAGTCGACGCTTGCGCAACTGCTCCGCTCACTATATGGCGACAAGGTGGAAATGGAAAACTGGACTGCGAAAATAATGCTTTTCTACACAAAACACAAGGAAAACCATTAACAAATACTTAAATAGAAGCTTTTGACACTCAGCCTTAGGCCTTAGAATGCGTAAGTCAAAGAATAAAATAAAATTATGTAACAGTAAAATTCATTGAATATTTTTACATTAAGTTTACAGTTACCTACTGAAAGAAAAGATATACTTCTTTTCTAATTAATAGTTAATTAAGAACAATAAAATATGCAAAACTTTTAAGTAGACTAACTCATTTTCTAACTGTTCGTGACATAGATACATTGTGTGATCGTCACTCAATTAGTGCTATCCTTAGTCATAGATGGTTAGAATTTACCTATTTTATAATAATTTCTAATTTTACATAAATTTCGGAAATCCAATCATGCTTATAAATGAGATACATTACAAAATGAGGACACAAGATCATTTGCGACACTGATATCGAATGAACTGAGTAAATTATTCTACATGGATTTCGCAAAGCCATTCGGCATGGTCGCTATGAATCCTTGATGGCTTTTACGTGCAATTACTTTCTGTAATGTTAGACGAAATGCTTCATTTACTATACTTCTTCGATATTTCTCGAATTTTCTTTCAAGTATGGAAAGGAATGTTATGACTGAAAAGCAAATTATCTAATAGAGCCGGTGAAACCACTTATGTATGCTAGAAGATTACTTGTAGTGGCATAATCGGGGTAACTACCATCTAATTCTATAATCAATAATAAGAACACATGATTTGTTTGTAAGTTTGCCTTCTGTTTATGAGTTAAAACGATAGTACCTAAGAAGGTTCCTACACAATACGTAAAAATGTGACGTACGTACCTACTATTTTCCGATAGCGGAAATTATGTAGTAAATCCAGTGGGGACGTTTCGCACATTCGTGCGAATCGACTACTAAGCCAAACCAGCGTGTGCTGTTGTGTCGAGTAGCTCAAACCTCTTAACTGTAGCATCTTCATCTAAATAATGCTGATAGCTGAGTGATGATGATGTGATATCGCCGGTGGATTTCAAAGACTCTACACCCAGCTTTCGATTTCAAATTAAACAACCGCGAATCCTCTCGACCATCGCAGCATGCAACCCAATTTCTCATTAGCCTAACCAAACATTCATAACATTACTCCACGAAGGGCATGTATAACCGCGAAGACAAGTTAATTGCCGTGTCTACAATCGCCGACACCACTGGAGCGTGTCTTCCAACTGGGGCAGGTAGTGCGTGGGCCACGCGGAAGGAAGCGCAACACTGTCACCGAATTAATTTTTATGAAGTTGCAAGCACATTTATGGAGTTGTTAATCGAGCGAAGGAGGACAAGTTTTTCAGCTAGCATGGTGATAAAATTAAGCAGCTTTTAAAAGAAAACAAATTATGTACGAGTATGATGATTTCCTATATGGATATTGAAGTCCAATGTAATAACATGCTGGTTATCAAGTTGAGATACTGGTTTGTCCCAATAATTTATCCATCAATTGATTCAAGATAATTATGTGCCGAAAATGGAGTGGATTATGTAGAGTCAATTAAAATGCTAACTGTTATCAGAATGAAAATGTCTGGAAACGAAACATATTTCTACATGGGCCCATGACTTATTACAGGGTGAGGTATTAGCTGGAACTACAAAACAATGCCAGAAGCTTCTTTTTTACATCCCATACGAATGTATGTAGAAGAGTTTGCATAACAAATCACGGACATTGTAAGTACGACAGGAGTAAATGAATCAAGGAAAATTAATAAAACGTCTTTGCATGGCAAATGGCACGCAGCATGCACCACTCGCAGTCAGGGGGAAGTGTATTGATCAGTATTGAATAATCCTGTAAAAAGAATCAGCTCTGTACAGTTCCTACCCCTGAAAGCCGGCGGTTGCAGGGCTGGGCGCACGCGCAGCCCGCCAGTAACGCACGCGCCGCTCTGCGGGACGGTCACCGACATGGACTCAAGGGTAAGCTTCAATGTTATCGCTTATCTGACTACCATCATACACTTGCACCTTTGCTTCCTTTTTTAGGCCACCACAATTCATTTGGTACCTATCGTGCTAATTGACTCTATGATGCTGGCATGAGAGTGAGCCACAAACACATCATTGGACGACTCACAAAATTTTCCAGACACACCTAGAGAAAAATTTCTACATCCGTTTCAATAGCACTTTCAGAAAGGTATTTTCTTTCTTTATAAACTTTGTTTTCTAGAGACTAGAGTGGCCAAAATAGTTTTGTGTTTAACACACTTGGGGATTTTCTTTACCCTTAACCCTTCGAACGCTGATCAAAGATACTACCAAGATACAGTTTTGTTGTCTGTGTTTTTCCTAAGTGTGGTGCAGAAAGTGAAAAGAAGTGATTATGATTACGAACGTGCGCAGTTATAATTAAGTGATCAAGAAGATATTGATGCGAACATTTTAAAATCACACGCAATCGTAAGCAGGAAAAGTCGACGCCTGGCCTAGTGGTTTGCGTACCGGACTACCGTAAATGCCGCGGGTTCGATCCCCGCACAATATATACTTTTTGTGAGCACAAACACATCTGTTTTTATTAGCCTGGGTGTTTTCTGTGTAGTTTAAATATTATGTTTGTTACGTGGTCTATGTATAAAATAAAGTAGCTGCTGGCTTAACTAATACGTGGTTGGTTTTTTATTCGGAACCGGAAACTATAGCTTTCGCGTATTGGCTACTCACATGGGATTTTTTTTCAAATCTATTATTATCTCATTTCAGATACCAATACTGTTGCTCTCGCTGTGCGCGTGTGCCAGCAGTGAGCCGCTGCCCGACGCGCTCCAACGACGGAGCGGCCACGGAGTGTACGCCTCGGAGTACTCGAGGGGCTACCAGCCCCTGGCCTACGCAGCCATCCCGCTTCACGCGCCCATTCCCGTTCTGCACGTCCTCACGCCCGCCCAGAACCCCGACCAGGAACGCGCCCAAAGCGTCAACAGGCCCAATTACGCCCAACCGCAGCAAAGTGTCAACAGGCCTACTTATGCTCTACCTCAACAAAGCGTCAACAGGCCTGCTTATCCTCAACCGCAGCAGAGCATCAACAGGCCTACGTATGCCCTGCCGCAGCAGTACTTGCCCCAGCAGTACGTGCCCCGATACGGCCAACCAAACGGCTTCGTCAACCCATACTCATACGCCTCATCCATGAGCTACCTCATGTACACCAACCCCCCAGAAGAACCAGAGGAGAGCGCCCCGCCCACGATCCTCTACGCTCGCCCCAACCCCAATGGGGGCTACACATACCGCCGGAGACCCAACAAAAATCGAACAGCCCCAAAGAAACCCCCAAACGAACCCGTCATCATCAAAATCCACAAATACAGAGTCGTCAGAGATCGATAGACACGATAAACACCTAGATGATAGAAATACTAATTGTAAAAATGCCACTGTTAATTTTTAATTGTGTTTAATTAAGGAATTAACTATTATTTTTATGGACTAATTTTATGTTTTATATTAAATGTAACACGTTTATGAATGTTAGACTGCATTTAATAAATGTATGCTTACTATTCGACATAAAAGAGTTTGATCTACTAACAACTGTAGGCTTGAAAGTATAACATGAAATAATTCATGAACGTTAAGTAAACATTGCCACGTGTAGGTAATTTTCACTTCCAGGAAACTGCAGGAAATGAAAATAGTGAGACAATAACCAGTAAATTCTTGTTTAATAACATTCAGAAATGTGTAACGCAACGCATAAAAACTAAGCCACGGTTTAGTCGTAAAAAACCTACAAGCGGTTTGTTTGTTATGCACTTTCATTGACTACATTATATTAATTAAGTAAGTAGGTAAGTATTAAACTCGGAAATTAATTCTTCGGAAGTGTGCTTTAAAACTACATATCAATCAAGTTGTAAGTAAACTACAATATTATCTTATCTACTATCCTCGACAGTACCTACCTATTCGGACTCGTGACATGCAGTGCAGTGCGTACGGAAAACGTATAAACTGTACACGCACGCCCGTGGGACCATGGCCGTGAAATAGATTCTACTTATTTATTGCACTATGCCAGACCTAATTGTTATTTCATTTTCTTTGATCTTTACCTTACCTTTAAGAGAAAATATCTAAACCGCCGGTCCGATTGAGCAATGTAAGACGGATCCAAAGTTTAAACGGAAGTGACCATAACCATAATATTTGATACAATCTACTGCACGAACGATACAATACAAGAAGAAAGGAAAATAACATTATTGGGTTCTAAATAATTTATAATAAAAACAAACATAGCTTATTATAGAGCTTCTTTTACGAATCTTGATAAGCTTTTTTGAAAACCATATAGTTTTTATGGCTCGAACTACTTAGTTCCAAGTTGGACAATTTTTTGTGGCAGCTGACACTGACATTTCCTCCATTTGACGTTTTCTCTTCACTCGATAGCCGAGTTTTCAGGCACAGATGAGACGGTGTTTTCAGGTTATTTTGAAGAGATTTGAGAAAATTAACTTTATCTGATAAAATAAATTGATCTATCCAAAAGACTGATCAATTTACGTTGCACTGGTGCACATTTTTTAACTTTCTATTAATCACTTCTTGGAAGTATACGTAAGTATTTCAATTTGGTTAACTTATTGAAGAGGGTTAGGTTTTTCCGAGTCTAAAACATTTTCATTCGTTTTAGGTAATTAGTGATTGCAATGTCGTTCCCAAATAAAGAGCAGAGAAAAATGTGTTGGGACGCGAGGGATCGCTACTGGGAGTGCCTAGATAACGAGAACATCAAAGACAGTTCTCTAAAGCCGAAAGTCTGCTCGGAGCTTAGGCGGATATTCGAGAACTCTTGCCCCACTCAGTGGGTCTCGCATTTTGATAGAAAACGAGACTACAATGTGTTCAAAGAGAAAATGCAGAAAGAAGGCTATGAACCCATAAAAGAGTCACAATAAATAAATAAATTAACACCTGCAGTGTTATCTGACTTTATTTAATTTAAATGTAAATATAGTTTATGTAGTAAATTATTACAATTTGAAATTGGTTTTTATTTATTCTATCCCTGTGGAGTAGGCTGGTATTGGGGGTTATAATAAACTATACAACTTTAACTTAGGTAAATTAATTTGAGTTACATTGTATCATTTTGCTTAGATTATGAAAAATTATTCCTAAAGCAAGAAATAAATGTCTTTTCAGATAATTTCCAATCATGGATGATATTACAGAAAAAATAAAGATACCTTCAAATGAGCTACGGTTGGAATCTATACAGGTATTTTTAGTATTTTAATAATTTATTTTATGCCAAGTTTATTTGTTTTGATTGTTTCTTTTGTGGTTATTGATTTCATAATTATAATTTCAGGAGCTTCTTTTAAAAGTGAGGACACATAGATCATCACAAAATGCAGCAAAGTGGTCGGAGCTATTACAACTTTTGTGGGCACATATAGAAACAAATCTGCCAAAACTAGACGATCAACTGCTGTGTGCTACATGCTTTTATACTATTTTAGAAATAACAAATGAAAAGGAAAATTATTTAAATAAAGTTTCAGCATTGATTACTCAAGAGTTAGAGTTAAGAGTTACAAATAATGAAGATACTTCAAAGGAATTAAGCTCATTCATTGTCTCACATGAAAAGAAAAATAGAAAGATATTGCAAGTAGTTTCTCTAATGTATGGCCTCTTGCAGTCTACATTTGTAACCAATACCATTAAGGATATTATAGAACTGGCTGGCACTCTGAAATCAAGCATGGATTTATTAATAGCAATGGCTTATGAGTATTCCAGGTACACATTTATTGTTTTTAAGACAATTAGTTCACTGAAAAAAGTCTGCGGAACAGAATTACAAGAAATTGTTTTCAGTCATAGCAATTTCATCAGACTTCTCAATTTAGTAAACCATAACTGGGAAAACCCTATAACTGGCGTAAGAGATCTAAACAAGTCTATATTTCAAATTCTTGTGTCATTAAATGAGAACTTTAGCAAAATGATTTTGAAAGAAATTAATAACTTTTATTGGAATAAAGCTAAGTTTTTAATGCTCTCAGAAATAATAGAACAAAGTAAGGAGAAACTTGTGAATTTTGTACTAGAGAATAATTGGATTGATGGCCTCATCTACAGCCTGTCCAAGCCAGGCCTGGTATCGGCTGGGGCGGACATGTACTATGCAATTATAAAAAACCTCAATACCGAAGAAGAATGGTGTACTCTATTTAAAGACAGAATTATTTATGTTCTAAATGGAGAGCATAACAAATCAATTGATAACTTCTGTAATTATTGGTGTTTGGGCACTTTCAAGAAATTTCCAGATTTGCCGTTTATCCTTATTGGTGAGCTGCAAAATTTTGAAGAATCAGAGTCAAAGTTATACAGCGGTCTTTGCATTTTGAAACAAGCAAACAAACTAGGACTTTTGGCAAAAACATGGGATACAAATGAGTATGGTATTGTTGAAAAGATGATTTTAGCAGGAACAGAACATTGTAATCCTTACACTAGAATGTTGCAATTTGAAATTGTTTGTGTAAAACAAGGGAAGGCTCTACCTTCTTCCACTGAGTTCAATCTCATCCTAAACTACTTGTCTAATAATGTGAACTCTGATTGCACCGTTTTGAGAATCAGTATGTTACGGCAGATCAAGTGTTTTCTCACATATTTGCATGCTTCATATTATAATCATACTAAAAATCATCAAAAGTTTGAAGCAAAAGATCTTATGAATTTTTACAAAAGTTTGCAAGAATTTATAATAGAATCCTTGAATTTAGATGGGAATTATCAAAGAAAGGTTGCTACTATAAAACTGTGTGGTATACTTTTGAGTTCTCTGAATGAAACACCAAAGAAGAGGCAAAAGGAGATAATAAATTCTGGAGTGGAGATGACTAAATTCCTAAAGCAACACGATTGCTTCCTATTGTTCCAAGAAATAAATCTTGTGAAACTGTTTAGCCTTTTGAAAGACCCAGCGGAAGATATCAGAGAGATTACTGTACAACTTTTGCTCAATCATTATTCTCAACAAATCACACCTGATTCACTGGATTGCTTGATAAAAGATGCTCAAGATTGTATTAAAAGCAAGTTTTTCTATCAGATATGTTGTGGTCAGAGTATATTTAGACTAATCACAAGTCTTCTATTGAAAGAAAATTACACAGACACTGTTTTCAAGAGTGTGGAGGATGTCTTTGTCTTTGCTTTTGATGTGTTAAATAAAGAGTATGAACTGAAGAGAGATATAGTGAAGTCAATTGAAGATGGCAAACAGCTTCATGCCTATCTGAGCATTTTGCTTGAAGTGCTCAAAGTTGCTAAACAGAATTCATATGAGGTCAAAAATTTGAGGGAGTTGATTCCTCAATTACTGAATATTTTGGAGGATATATCCAACCAGTTTGCGTGGGAGCAGGAGCCAGCCACCAGCTCAGACTTCTCCAAGATGAGTGACATGGTGAAGAGTATCATAGCTTCGTCGGGGTATAACCCGCAGGATGAGAATGATCTCGCAAAGATTACAGGACTTCAGCAGATTGTTTTGAATTGCTTATGGCTGAATGTTAAGGTAAGTAACTATAAATACATGGACTAAAAAATATTCTCATCATCATCATCATTTCAGCCATAGGACGTCCATTGCTGAACATAGGCCTCCCCCAATGCTTTCCATGTTGTTCGTTTGGTAGCGGCTTGCGTACAGCGCTTCCCTGCTACCTTTACGATGTCGTCGGTCCACCTTGTAGGTGGACGTCTCACGCTGCGTTTTCCGGTACGCGGCCTCCATTCCAGAACCTTGCTGCCCCATCGGCCGTCAGTTCTGCGTACTATGTGCCCTGCCCATTGCCACTTCAGCTTGCTAATCCGTCGGGCTATGTCAGCGACTTTAGTTCGTTTACGGATCTCCTCATTTCTGATTCGATCCAAATTCGATCTCGAAAAAAAATATTCTGCCTGTAATTAATGCATGTCTAAGAAACCTCTGATGTTTCAGGCGTCCTGCGACTTGGCGTCATACCTGACGCAATTGTTCCGTAACGAAGACGCGGCGGCGTGCGGGCGCTGCCTCACGATAATCACGCACGTGCTGGAGACGTCGCGACACAAGGGGGCCATTGAAGCCGCCGGCGCTGCTCTTGGTAAGCTAATTACAACCTTCATCATCATCATTTCAGCCATAGGACGTCCACTGCTGAACATAGGCCTCCCCTAATGCTTTCCACGTTGATCGATTGGTAGCAGCCTGCATCCAGCGCTTCCCTGCTACCTTTGCGATGAATTACAACCTTAGTCTACAAAAATATAAAGTTTATCAGATCTTCTTCTCATCGTGTCGACAACAAACCTACAGTGTTAACCCAAAACTCCGCTACAAGAGTGGCGTTGTCAGCAGCATTCATTAAATCCTGCGTGCAGTTGCTCGGGCACTCAGGGCACGATATCATGAGCTTCATTGACTGGAGAAGAAAACCGCACCTGCTGCACAGTTTCTCTGATGATGATCAGATTTCCTGACTATAGGCGTAATTTCCTTCTACTCTGAAGTCGGTCGCGTATGTCATCTGAGAGTACGAAATATGTAGAGCGATAGCAATAAACATGCCACTGACGTCAGCCATGCAATGTGATGCTTTGCGAACTGAGGAACCGAGCTTACGGTGTTTTAATTATTTAAAGTAGCTACAAACACTCCACCCACTTGAAAGAACATTGACATTTGTGTGTTGACGATGAGACATGTATACTGTATAGTCTACAAGAAACTAAAGATAATGAGGGCTATCGTTTTAGCGCTCACCAGTTAGCGCCACTGTAGAGTAAGGTCCTGTCACTTGCTAGTAGCGAAGACAGTGGCGCCAATTTGTGATCGCTAAAGTGGTAGGAGGACTATCGCATTTGCACTCATCAAGATGGCGCCACTGTAGAGTATGGTCCTGTCAATCGCCAGGGGTGCCAACTGTTAAGTATAAATACGATAGCCCTCATTTTGATTTTGATTTTTGACGTCATATAAACAAAATTTCAGGTCGAGCCATTCAAAATCTGACGTCCCTCCCCGAAGACTCAGCCCTGTCCTTGCTTCCTCTCTCGCTGCTGAAGTGCAAGCTGACCGAGCTGATATCATCCGCCGCCATGGCTTCGGTGACGCGACGAGGCGCCGGCCTGTCTATAATGGTGCACAGGATCGTGTCCAGCGATATGAAGAAGGGGAAGGTATGAAAACGGTCCTGACCATCATACTCATAAAAAGAATCTAGCATACTCTGATACGAGATTACCGTTTTCTTTGAACGTGAGCAGAGGGCTTAGTGTGAGTTTAAACGTCTTCACTAGTAAGCGCGTTAAAAAAAACCTATGAAAATTATAGTTCTTGAAAGTTTTCGCTAGGGGCGCTACACAATCCGTCTACATTTAATGTCATTTTTTACACGCTCAATAGTGAGAACGGTTGATGTAAACTCAGGCCCAGAACAGACGGTGAAACGCAATTGCAACGAAACTGCAACTGCTAGTTACTTTTAAGTTGCATCTAAGTTTCTGCCACAGCGTCCGTTGAGAGACCACACATGACGCGACCAGTTTGAAACTTTCAGTTTCATTCATAAGAATCATTAGAAACTTGCAGTATCGTTGCAGTTGCGTTTCACCGCCTGTTCTGGGCCTTACACTAAGCTCACAGAGCGTACCTATACTTACCCAGTAGGTGCGACATACGTAATTAGTCGTTGTTTCATACACAATAATGATGTTCTATTTAGTTTTTACCATGTAAAAACACAGATGAAAACTCTGCTGAAAAAACAACATTCTGATAATTTTGACTAAAACAGATACCAATAACTTGGGAAGGAGCACTGGCCAAGACCTAATAACACAATATTACTGATTTTTATGTCTTTTGCAGCCTCTTTTCCACCACTTCATGGGCACCCTCCTCCAAGTGTGCCACGAGATACAGTCCCCGGCAGGCGACGACGGCTGCAAGGACGTTCCCGAAGCCATCTATATCCATTTCCTGACGCGCGTAGTAATGGACAGCGGACTGGCGTCAGACACCATGTTCTATGCCGCTGAGCTGGCTGCGGTGGCTTTTGATAACTTGACCAGCACGCATTGGCAGATAAGGTGAGATTTACCTTTGCGCTTTCAACATTTGGAGTAGGCGCACACCGTTGATTTTTAGTTGGCCGATAGTTGTGCCCAATTTTAATTTGTATGAAGAATCGGCCAAATCGAATCGGCGTAGTGTGCGCACTCCCATACATGCCCATACTGATCAACTGCCCGACTAAACTATCGGCCGATGAAAAATCAACGGTGTGCGCTTACTCTTATTGCATACTTCAGAACAAAAATGTATATTCACATAAAGACAAGAGCTTACTTATCTATGGCTTGAAGCCCCCCTCATCCCCCTCTGAGTGACGTATTATGTGACGTGGTCACGTGTCTATAAAAATGTGTACTTTTTTATAGACTTCGCAATGCCTTCATTTTATTGTAGGTCGCAAGCATAATAATCAGAATACATTTTAACACCCCTCGCAACTACTAATACGCTAGGTGTTTAGCTTCTAAATTCGCCTTGGCAAGAGCAAAACTACGTTTTTATTTTTTAATTTAGCTATTATTTTGACATAGATTAATTTGTACTTAAATGCTTTCAGAAACGCAGCCCTCCAGTTATACGGTGCCCTGATCCCAAAGCTCATTGGGCAGAAGAAAGCCTCGGGATCTGACGACGAGACGGTTGCTACCGTCGCCTGCGACGAATTTCGCACCCACTCGCCTCAGTTATGGCGTCGTATGGTACTCTGCCTTACCACCATAGACGCTACCAATCAGGTCCAGTCACATTCCAACCTCATGCCAATCCTAAACGTCCTCGCCAACCTTGCTAGAAGATACAACTTCCAATCTGATACAAGTGATGAAAAAGAACTGCTCCTACCATTAATGGCATTACTGGGCAGCCCTATTTATACCGTGAGGAGACTGACTGCCAAAAGCATTTTCAATATATTCCAGTTTGAAAGTATACACGATATTGTTATGAAACAAGAAAATGTTACTGAAAATTTTCTTCATGGAAGCCTGCTTCTGGTTGGAAATTACATGAAATACTCATCGAACCTTAACTCAGCTAAGTTTAATCAATTGAAAGATAAGTTTAAGAAAATATTGGATAAAGAAAACCATTCTTATGTGAGTAAACGAGAATTTGATGAGCTGTGGAGTCATGAATATATCAAAGGTGAAGTGAAAGATGTTGTAGAGGAAGCTAAAAGGAATAGATATTCCCCAGGAGTATTCCACTGGGCAAACAGCAAAATAAAAAGACACATTGAAGTATGTCCATGGGAAGACATTCCAGATGTTTTAAAAATACTCTTGCAAGAGAGTGACTATGAGAACTATTGTGAGTTTATTTTAATTAAAATGGAAACAAATAATGACATACCAAGACAAATACTTTTGGAAATCGGCAAAATACTTGAGGCATTCCCAAATAAGTTTAAAAGCTGTGTGATTTGGAAAATTTTCTACTTTATATCAACAGGAGTAGATTTAGGTGATGCCATAGATACAGTAAGCATTTTTAATTATTTGGAAACTTCAGGTGTTTCCTACAGAACAAGATATATTCTACCATTCCTGTCAAGTTTGTGCGGCAAACTTCCTGAAAATCACTTAATTCGTTTAGCGATTATTATATTCTCTCTCTGTGATCCTGACACTTCAGATGTTGATATGAGGTACATAGCCTCCCTGGCCAATAATGAAGTAGCAAAGGCTTTTTCCAATATACCAGACTCAGTGAGGATAACATCTATAAAATGCGCTTATGTGCTGCTGCAAGATGAAGATGAAGATGTGAGGATGCTGAACATCAAGTTTTACTCAAATATTAAAAAAGATAACAACTTGCTCCATCCTTATGTATGTTGGATGAAAATCTTAGAAAAAAGCTTCTTGCAAGAAATTTTAGACAACCCAGAAACTGGAATTAATACCATTCATGAAGAATTGTCAGAAGTTGTAGCAAGTTATGCAAAATCAAATGTAATCGATGAGTACAATCCATTCGCAAATGATTCCAAAAATATTTATTTTGAACTACAAGTTGTAAGGCAACAATTGCAAAAGCTGAAGTGAAGGTTACTTTTAAATAAAGATTATTTATATTTAATTCACATCATTTTATTGTAGATTTAAATAATACCTTAAATAACTATTTACAAAAATATACCAAAAAACTCATGAAATGATTGTCTTTTGCACACACATCAGTGGATCTTTTCTTCAGACACATAATAAATTGTTGTTTGGCATAAAAAACTGAAGGTATTTTAAAATTATTTTATCATGAACTTACTACTATCAGTGATAATTTTACAGAGAGCGTCAGGCTTCATACATACAAATAGGGAAATGTATTCTTGAAATAGTCAACTTTTGATAAGCAAGGCCAAGGAAAACAAGATCTTTATGTCAAGAATAACTAAAATCAGATCAAACTGTTTAGTGGTCTGATACTGATGTTGTGTGTCCTGCCAGTGTGTAGATGGGATATGGGAGGAAATTATATTCCCATTGCCTTTGGAATTATCCAGACCATAAATATCCCAATTTCAAATGCCAAACAACAACGTAAACAATTCACAGCTCCAACACAATACCCGTCACATTCTCCACCATACACTGTGCCTCGGATCACTCGTCGTAGTAGTACTTCTGCGGGGGAGCGGTGTCGTCGATCTGGATGGACACGATGTGGCGGCCTGGCACCATGACTAGGCCTAGCACGCGCGGTTCTTCGGCCTCGCCCTCGTTGCCCTTTAAGTACTCGGAGCAGGCGCCTGGAAATATCAAAATTAGTTGGATAGTGTGTACTAATGAAAGGGTAATTGCAACACATATAGTATTTTAGTAATGGCACTTTAGTAAAAGTGACGTCATTATTGGCTAGGTATAAAAACAAGACAAGCTAAGCAAAGTGCAAGGGCACTTCCTTCTTAATTTTTTTTTACATCTTAATTGTAGGCTCAAGGTAATCTACGATCATTGTTGTTTCTGTTGTAGGTAACCATTTTAATTTACACTTATCATAGTCATTAGGAATAAGTTATACACACAGGACTGAGGATTAGATTCCTCATTAGCCTTACCTAAAATAACATTCGCATCTCTGTCTGTGCACAGGAACACTCCAATGAGGACCCGGCCGTCTGTCATCTCGATCCGAAAGTTCATGTTCAACCATTTCCGAAGCTTGGTCTTCCCGTCCTCCACTTCCAGATCCTGAGAATGTGTTATTATGATGGCAATTTGTTTTCAAAATATTTTTTATAGAAGTCTGAAGCATATTATACGAAAGGAGAAATAAACCATACATTTACCTTTGTAAAATCTACAGGGGATATTTCGTTAGTGCTCATACTGGGAATAAAAACGTAAACTTTCGAACGGTTTTAGGTTATAGTCTGGTTTAGTCACTCGAATAAATTAGATATTACAAAGAAAGCTAATAAGAAAGATATAGTTTTAAATATGTGCTTGGCTTGAATTGAAATTGAAATGCGGAGAAGAAATTCGCACAAAATTCGGAAGCCAGTTTAGCCAGAATTTGTTGAAGAAACAGCTGATTTTGATTGACAGCAGGCTGTCACAGCTGACAGCCGACAGCTTTTAAACGGTTTTGTTGTGCATCTTTGCATACTGATAAAAGTTTTCTGCATAAAAACAAGGCAAACTGTAGTTTCATTCGTGTCTGATTGAAGAAGTGCTTAGTTTAGTATTTTTGTAAATTCTGGGCGGGGCCGTTTTTCGCAAACAATTTTGACATCTCGATAAATAAACAAAACGGTGCTTCCTTTAGTGGCGCCCTCCTCCAGTGTTTGTTCGTGACAATAATTCGTTGTTGAATTTAAGTTCTTAGGTCGATACAAATAAAGATTATTTTTGAATATTTCTCACTGTTTGTTGTTGTTTTGATTTTTGACATCTTGATTCTCTTCATCTCTTGATTTTAGGTTATAAGAATTAAGAAAGGATTTGAGTTTTTTCATCATAGTTTCAATTTTAATTTATTGTCTTAATATTGTGTTTTCTTCCAGTTTAAGTAACAGAATATAATGTAAAAAGTTTACAAAATGGACCAAAATGAAAACGACGATAATTTTATGAAAATTTTCAAGTATTATAAGTCGAATAAACCTAAACCTTCCATGGAAAATGTTTTATCAGTAGAAGATAAAAATCATGTGGAAAAGGTGTGTATTCTATTTTAAATTTGTACAATTTTAAACATGGCACTAAATAATTGATTGTATATTATTTATTTTTAGGTTGTTCCACTAATAGGAAATAGCCTATCAGATAACAGAACAGAGTTTCTAGGCCTAAAGAACTTCCAAAGTTGGCAACTTTATAGTTTTCCAGGTCACCCAGGACTATTTTTGATAAGAAATCCATTCACAGGCATTGGCCAAAGGTATTGGATTAGAAAATGCTTGGAGGAGTATCCAAGGAAGCCCAATATAACCAATATTGATATTGAGGTTGTGATCGACGACTGGTGGAGAGAATGCTATATTGATGGCACATGTAATCGGCAACTGCTGAAGAAGCTACGATGGACGACATTGGGATATCACCACAACTGGGATACAAAAGTAAGAAAAATCAATATATCAATAAGGAAACAATATTTTAAAAATGTTGACAATGTTGTTTTATGCATGCATTGGATATTTAATTATTTAATATCTAACAACAACAACAGCCTTTTTTTCTTTTAGAGCCGTTTTAGAGCTCCAATAGTTTGCATTTATTTATGGCTCTTTAAAATTCAACATACATGTTTTTTTATTTCCAGGTGTATAGCGATAATAACAGAACAACTTTTCCGGAGGACCTTGCAGAGCTGTCAGACGTTGTAGCCAGCTACCTTGAGTATTCGGGTTACAAGGCTGAGGCAGCCATCGTCAACTATTATCACATGAAGTCTACATTGTCTGCCCATACTGACCACTCTGAAGTTAACTTGCAAGCACCCTTGTTTTCTTTTAGGTTTGTTGTAAATGCTAATAATACATAATCACAAAAAGAGCTTTAATAATTCTAAATGCCACATAAAACATAGCTCATTGACCTAATATATAAAAATTAAATACTGCAATGCAACTTTTTCATCCATTCCATATTAAACATTTATGATTATGAATTATATTATGTAATTTCAGCTTTGGCCAGTCAGCAATATTCCTTTTAGGTGGTCAAGAAAAATCTACAGTTCCTTCAGCAATATTAGTCCAGAGTGGGGACATACTGATTATGTCTCAGCAAGCCAGGGTCTGCTACCATGCTGTCCCCAAAATCCTGCCAGCCAAATCTAGCCCTTGGGATTATGATAGTAAAGTTCTTATTGACAATGAAATGCCAACATTCAAGTATATCAAAAGCCCTAAAAATTTAATATCAAGTCTAAATTGTAACACCGATGATAAGATATGGAGTAAATACAGAGATTATGTCAGAGAATCGAGGATAAACATGAATGTACGACAGGTTTTGAATGAAAATCAAACTAATTTAGCAGATCCAGTGTTTATTGACAAGTGATAATGTGGGATGGTTGTAATTTTTTTATCATAATGTATGCATGGGCCTATAATTTTATATGACCATGGTTGGTGTGTGCTGACGTCAGTTTGTCACCAGGATGCTTTGGATGACGCCGGGAGCTCGGAACGGGATGTTCTGGCGAACCGGTTGTTGAGTTACCACTGGAACAACACAAAAGTATTTTTAATTTATTGTTTATACGAAAAATAATCTTAAAATTTATATTATTAAGCAAAATTTTTCACCAAAATGCGATTTCATTTGATTGAACATAAGAATTTTTTGAATAAATGTTTTGTTTATTGTTTTGTTACCAATCAATTATTTTTATATCGCAAAAAGTAGATAAAACTTAGAATAAAATGATCTGTCTCTAAGAGATAAAATTCAAATTTTACTTAGGAAGGATTGAAAGTAGTTGTATTATTATAACCATTAATCAAGAATTGATAAATCCAACCCTAATCCAAACATTTCAAAACACATTTTACAAAAAACTAATTTCGATAATGCCCCTTCAGCTTTAGCGACACCTATGTACTTTTTGGAAGAAAACCGAAATAGAAGTTCCAAGTATGTGTGCCACTGCCAACCTTGCAGTTCTCCTTATCTGGCATAGATGGCGTAAAATAGGTAGGTATGTTATAAGTAAACATTTTTTCATTCTTTCTTTCAAAGATGTAAAGGGTATTTTCATGTGAGTTATAAAATGTATTTTTTGGTTTTTAGTGCCAACTCTGCCTTCACAATTTCTTGTGAGACCGCACTTACCTTTACAGTCACCCTTGTTGGCGAAAGTCTCCATGCTCTTGTGGTGGTCACACAGACCCCAGAAGCACTTGACGTAACTTTCGGCGTAGCACTCGTATGTACCTACTCGTCCTTGGCCCCGAACAGAGTCGACCACTTGCCAACTGGGCTGAAGCATCGGTCGGCCCCAATACCTATTATCTTATTTACCTTTACAGTCGCCCTTGTTCGCAAAAGTCTCGATGCTCTTGTGGTGGTCACACAGACCCCAGAAGCACTTGACGTAGCTCTCGGCGTAGTAATCGTACTAGGCCCCTAATGGAGACAGCCTGCCTGTAGTACCGGTCGTCGCAATACTTATACTTATTTACCTTTACAGTCTCCCTTGTTGGCGAAGGTCTCGATGCTCTTGTGCTGGTCACACATGCCCCAGAAGCACTTGACGTAGCTCTCGGCGTAGCACTCGTATTCGTCTTTGGCCCCGAACAGAGCTAGCCGCTTGCCAACCGGCCTGTAGCACCGGTCGTCGCACTTCTTGTGAGCAGCGTACATTGCTATTGCTAATTTTGTAAAAAACCTAAAATATTAATGGACGGATTTTCAAATCATTTGCGTTTTTAATTTTACGATAATTTCAAGTTAATTTGAGGAATTTGAGAATATCACTGTCAAGTTGACTGTTGTCAAATTTTTTGATTTTAAAAAGCAAAAAAAGTTTATTGAACTACTTATTTCGACTTGTTTTGTTGTGTTTGCTTGGCGCCAAAGGCGCTCCCAAAGTATAAAAGCGCAAAAAAAACTTAGCGAGTATAATACTTATATACCTACCTAATGTTTTTCGTTATTTTTTTTTATAAATTAAGTTGTACAATCTTTGCAGTTCAAAGTGGCGTTTCATAAAATCATTCGAATCTTAGTCAGCTCTGCGTCAACCTCATCGGCACGTAGTGTTCTCATACGTCCAAATTCGGCTTCTATTGAATCTAGTGTTCAGTGAAAATCGTAGGAGCGGCAATATTCCGGCGGCTTTGTGCCGGCGGCATTCAGCCGGCGACTGCGCTGCGATAGGTGCGCCTTTTCAACGCCGCCCGCCTTTCAGCCGCGACGACAAAACGCACGCCTGTTCGACCAATAGAAATGCCATTCGGCATTTCGATTGAAACGATGATTATTACAAGACGATATTTTACTGGTCTGCAGTAGAGCGGATTGCACGATGACTGTGGACTTTCAAAATTGATATGCGCCATTTTAGCGAAGATTTCTTTTCATTAACATTTCAGATAGGATGCAAAAGAGGAAGGTTGGTTCTACATAGGTACACTAGAGGTACCTATCAGAGTTGTGCAGCCCAAATCTGGCAATACCGAATGCTGGTCGAATTAATGCTCGTTGCATCTCTCCCTTCCCGCAAATTGCGCTTGACCGGACGCAGACAGTCCAGTAATGCAGCCTTCGTGTCCTAGCTAAGTGTCTTTCACAACACTAACTGCCGATTAAGCGGCTGCGAAAACAGTTACCGGATGAGCCGCAGCAGATGCGTGTTGGGAACGCTCCTGCTTGCATTCACACGTCTGAATAATCAAGGTTTCCTTACCTACCTTGTATTAGAGTTGGTGCTATTATTTATTCTACTTATAGCTGTCTTTGCAAATGACCAAAGGCAGATAATGTCGGTTCACTGTTGCTGAAAAATCAGCATTAGTCTTCAAGAAATCGTTTTCTTTTAGTAAAACTTGTCGATGCTGAAATGTGTACGACATTCGGCCCGCAGCATTGGTTAAAGTGGGTGTCACCAACAGAACCCCGGTACAAAGCAGCCGGTATATTGCCGCTCACGTGGATTTCAATATAGATTACCTGGATTTAGTTTTCTTTGAATGCTGACTTCGACAGATCTACGCTGCGAACGTATGCTCTACTTTTTATATAGCGCTGTGACCAAGGATAAGGAGCACAAGGATAAGATTCCCAACCTTACTGGCCACTTTCATAGTTAAATTGCATTTAGGTTAAGGGAAAGATTCTTGGATAACTTGTTTAGGTTAGGTAATATGGAGAGTTGAATTAGGTACTTCTGAAGTTCTGATTTAAAATGACAAATTCAGCTATTTCTGTTTTTCAACCTAAGTTCAAGGCTTTAGTGTCAGTATCTTAGTTATTCCAATTTATGTATGCGAGTCATTTCTACTAGTATTTAAGTGTGTTATCTGTAAGTCTAGATATTAGCACGTCACTACCTTGTTTAATAAACCACGCAATTTTGTATACCCATTCTTATAAGATACACTATACAAGAATGCATGGTAAATTCAGTGAACTGCTCCTGAATCGAATGTACCTACTACTACTATTTCTATTTATTTATATTAACCGGCAGACAGTGGTGACTGAGTTTGTTGCGGCGCTTCTTCTCAGCACTTGCCAAATGTTGGTCTCGAAGCGCTGGTAGGGTAAAAAGATTATGAGACATGTAGAGGCTCCTTAAGAGCAAAATGACGATTTGTAAGAACTATTTATTAGTCTAAACAAATAAAGAAAATTTTGACTTTTGACTTTTTTGACTTTTGACTTAAATCAAACTCATCATCGTTTAAGCCCGACCGCGATTCCCCTCGAGATCGAGTCCCGATATTGCTTGACAAGGTGCTTACATGAGGTACGGCAAATTGCGTCGCTTGTCCCCGCTGGCCCTCGACCGCACTGCTGACGATGGGTGCCGAATTATAACTTCAGGCTATACTTTAGACAATGATCTGACATAATAAGGCATGTGAAAACGAATATTAATGACAATAATATCATCATAATTTAGACGCATCACTTTTCAGATTGGCTGTATACTTAGGTAAGTAATCCCGATAGCGAGAATTAAAGATGGCTTATCATGGTCAACCCAAGTGCGGAAGGCATTCAGTCTACCCAGCAGCTTATCCATTTGCGTCAGATGCTATAATGCATTGTAGCTATTTACTTACCTACTGAAAAACTATCGACTCAACTTATTTTCTGCAAGTGACACTTAAATCAAGGGACGCGAAGTGCCCTTAAAAGGGCCTTTATAGTACCTACTCGTACATTACTGATAAAGATTTTGTATGTTGAGTGATATGGATACTTAGTTACTTGCAATGTTACTTAGGCTGAGTTGCATCACCTAACTTTGACCGTAACTTTGACGATAAACGTTGTTTTTTGTATGGAGTTTGACAGATTTTTTACGATTTTTAAGTTAATGTAAGATGATGCAACCCAGCCTACGTAACTATTATGATATTAGGCTATATCTTGAACTTGATACGGCTTTGTTTAACATCCCTTTTATAGTTACATATGACTAGCAGTCATCGACACCGTGTTTGCTGTAGGCACAGGCTGTATACACGTATTACGGGTGTCTGCGAGGCGTCTGAGGAGCTGTAATTACAATGGCGCACAAATATTGACGGGGCCGGTGATTGCTCTATCACTCGCCGATCGCTCTGAGGGGATCTGGTTAATCGCTTTTGGTGTGAGGATTGTGCTTAATACTCAATTGGAGCTGTAATTTGTGTTCCTGACCTGCTCTCTATATTATGCTTATAGTTCAACTATCATTAGAGATGTATATTGAAGCGTAAAAGGTACCTAATATATCTTTAAATGTAACATGATTGCAAGTTTTTTCTTTTGTAGTTTACCTGCCTAGATTGAAGATTCATCAACATCGCAAGTCCCATCAACTGCCAAGGAGATGCTGTCAGTGCTCAAAAAAGGCCAAAATGATCGACAGCGCTGATGGAAGGTTGTTTGCTGCAATTAATTAGCAAACAAACCAAACGTCGAGGCAGTGCGCTCGCGCACACGCCGCCATCAAAACGAAGACGCATCGCCCGCGCATTCAGCCGGCTTATGAACGAGCTATTTAGTGATTCGTATTTTTAGAGATCCACAAAAACTACAAGACAAAATAAAAATATTTATATTGATTTTATGCCTACTTACCTTACCTTACCTTTTGGTAGCTACTAACTTATAAGAATAAATTTATTTTTTAAGCTTCAGGTTGGTAAATCACATTCTTTCACACTTGGAACATACCTACTGTGTTAAATGCATTGCAGAAGTTAACCATTTGCTTAGTTTAAGAACAATAATTAATTATAAGTAATAATAATGCAGTTAAAGAAATAAAACATCATGAAATTAAAATAAAGGTTAATGCACATACCTACTGCTGTATCAGAAAACCATAGGTAGGTAACTTCCTTGCTTGAAGAAATCTCATTAAATATGCAAGTGATGTGATGATGTTATTTTACCTAATGCTGTGATGTATAGCGACAAGCCTTTTGAAGGGGATAGCACAAAGCTCCAGACGTGTACGGAACAGAGTGTTTCCTTTAGCGCCACAACCTTGCCCGTTTTTTTTATCGTCCACCGCTGTCACCATTGAAATCGGTCTCCTTTAATTTTGAAGCGAATAAATCCCGTAATCC